AAGGGGGACCCTGTCTCAAAAAGGCCCCCCCCCCCAAAAAGTATGTGATGTCTCCATTTTTTTTCTTGTTTATTTTACAGCCAAAATGTGGGTTTATTCCTTTCTCGAGTGATGTTACCCATGAGATGAAGCATAAAGTGTGTCGATACTGTATGCATCAGCATCTTAAGGTGAGAGCAGGGGACCAGATTGCAGGAGGGCAGAGCAGAGGGTGTCCGAGCCTGAGGCAGAGCCAGAGTTTTCAAATTAAAAAAAAAAAAATGTGGATATAAAAGTTTTTGTTCCCTTTTGTTTCTCAATATATTATTGTGTGGTGTGCATGCGTGTCCTTGTGAGGGTGGGTGCATATGTGCATGGCACTGTGAACTTGTAGAGGTCAGAGGACAACTTTTGGGAATTGGTTTTCTCCTTCCACCATGTGGGATCCAGGGATCAAACTCTAGTCAAAAGGCTTGTGCAGCAAGTACCTTTACCTACTGTGCCAGCATACTGGTCCTCACTTCTTTCTAAAATTAAAAAAAAAAAAAAAAAAAGGATTCCTTTTTAATGTAATTTAGTAGGTTTCAATCTCTTCCTAAGGTTTTGTAGTCCATTTTAATTCCATAACATTTTCATCCCTTCAAAAAAAAAAAAACCCGTCTCAGTGAGTCGCCATTTTCTACCCTCAAGCACCTGCCAGCCACCACTGACTGCTTTTTGTGTCTTTGGATTTCTGTGTTCTGGACATTTTCCATAAATTGAATGAACATGTTCCCTTTTGGGACTGGAGTTTCTCGCTTTGTGCAATGTTTTGGGTTCATGTGGAGGCAGGTGTATTTCCTTGTTTTGACTTTCCTTATTCATGTAATCTATTTATGAATGTATCATAGTTTATTCATCAATCTAGTGAATGAAATTCCAACATAAAAGTCATTTCCCACCTCTTGACCATTAAGACCAGTGCTACTATGAACATTTTTCTACAAGCACTTGTTCCAAAACCCTGTCTTCAGTTCTCCTGGTTATATTCCTAGGAATGGAATTATTGACTAAAAAATTTTTAGGTTAATTTTTTAATTGAAAATTTGTAAAATTTACACATTATATTTTGATAATATTTAGATCTCTTCCCATGTCTAGAACTCTCTTACTATCTCCTCATCAAATTTCTGTACTCTAATATCTGTCTGTCTTTCCATCTATCTGTTCGTCCATCCATCCACCCACCCATCTAAATTGCTGACTCTTAAGGTAATCCTATGTTAATTTTTTGAGATGCTACCAAACAATTTTCCACAGTAGCTGGACCATAATTTTATATTCCTGTCAGTGAAGGATACTGATCACTTCTTGCTAATACTTTTATGTCTTTTGTTGGGTGGTCAGGGTGTACTTCCCTGTTATTAGTTGTGCTGTCCATCTTTTTGTGTGCTTAAACGTATTTGTATCTTCTTTGGAGAAATGACTGTTCAAACCTTTTACCTGTTTATTAATATTTAATTTTAATTAGCTTACCAAGTAACAAGTTTCCTTATGGACTTTTCATAAATACTTGATTTTGTTTCCTCCCTTCCCCACTTCTGTCCCCCAACACCCTACCTTTATTTATTATACTCCACACCCCACCCCTGTATCCCCATGCATTAGTTAGCTTTCGGTTGCTGTGATAAAACACTGATAGAGAGCAACTTGGGGGAGTAAAAGGTTTATTTGGTTTATACGTCCGAGGCATACTGTATAACTGAGGGAAGTCAAGGCAGGAGCCTGGAAGGTAGGGAACTGGAGGCCAGGGAACTGAAACGGAGACCAGAATGCTGCTTACTCGCTTGTTCCTCTGACCCCTGCTCAGCCTGCTTTCTTATACAACCCAAGACCACCTGCCCAGGGAGTGGTACCACTTACAGTGGTCTGGGCCCTCCCAAATCACTCAGCAATCAAGAAAATGCCTTCCAGTCATGTTCACAGGCAAATCTGCTAGAGGACATTCCTCAGTTGAGAGTCTCTGTTTCCAGGTGTGTCCCGTTGACAAATGAAGCCCACTATGACACCCTACCTCCACTTTTATATCATATGTGGTTGTTTTTGAGATAGGACTTCATGTGTACCAGGCTAGCTTAGAGCTCACTATGTAGCCCGCATGTCCTTCAGCTTCTGATCTGCCTGCCTTTACCTCTGTAGTGCTGTCATTACAGGTGTGTGCCACCATGCCCAATTTATGCAGTACTGGGGATTGAGCCCAAGACTTTGTGCATGGTAGGCAAGCATTCTGCCAGTTGAGCTACAGCCCCAGTCCTCGCATGTGTTCTGTTACCTTCCCCACCTCTGTTCATTAAAACCTTCTTTTCCGTTCTAGAATGGGTTCCGTTCTAGTTTCCTGGCTTTTACACACACACTCATTCCCACATAGATATAGATATATTAAAATTAGCATCTAGGCTCTGCATGTGAGAAGGAACATAGAGTGTCTTTCTGAGCTTTGTTACCTCATATAGTATTTTCCACTTCCACTTCCTACAGATTTCATTTTCCTTTATGCCTTAACCCATTTAATGTTTGTTGTTATGATTGAGTTCTAAGCACTCTATATGCATTCTGGTTCTTAATACTTTGAGATAAGTGATTTGCAGATTCTTCTCTTTATCTTTGTGGGTAGTATCCTTTGATGCATAAATGTTTTTAATTTTGATCAAGTCCAATTCATCTACTTTTTTTGTTGCCTGTACTTTTGATGTAGCCAAGCAGTCATTGCCAAATCCAATGTTATGAAGTGTGGTGCTTCCAGGTTTTCTTCTTTGTCAAGATTGCTTGGCTAGTTAGAGCTCCTTACATATTACTTTGAAGGCCCAAATTTTTTCCCCCATTTCAGCACAAAGGACTGTTGAAATTTTGATGTATTGCATGAATCTAGATCATTGGTTAGAATCACTGTCTTCACAGTATTGTCTTATAGGTCATGAGCATGGGCTGTCTTTCTTCATTTCTTTCGGCAATATAGGTGTCCATCCGTCTGCTGCCCCCCCCGCAAAGACAGGGTCTGTGTAGCCCTGGCTAGCCTGGAACTCACTGTGTAGACCAGGCTAACCTTGATCTTACAAAGATTCCTCCTGCCTTTGTGTTGGGATTAAAGGCATGTGCCACCACACTGAGGCACATAGTTTTTTGTTTTTTAAATTGGAGTATAGATATTATACAGATATTATACATAATGTTAGTGTAGTTTTCAACATAAATGTCTTTCAGTAACTTAGCAAAGTTTAGTTCTGAGTATTTCATTGTTTATGGAATACTGTAAATGTGATTATAAATGGAATTGCTTTTTAGATTATTCATTGCTGGTTCATAGAAACACCACTGATAGTGTATGTGATGGCTTTCTACCGTGCAAACTCAATTTTAGAAAATCTACTCCAGTAACTTTCTTATGAACTCTTTTGCATAAAGATTCCTTGTGAATAGACTTTTATCTCTTCCTTTTCAATTGGGGTCCCTTTAGCTTGTCAATTTCTACAAAGAAACCAGGTTGGATTTATGTATGAGTATGTGTATGTGGGGGGGAAGGGGGGAGAGAATCTCATGTAGCCCAAGACTGGCTTTGAACTCTGTTTAGTTGAGGGATGATTCTGAACTCCTGATACTCCTGCCTCCACCAGGGATTATAGGCATGCACCTCCATGCTTACTTTCAGTTTGGATTTTGATAGGAATTCCATTGAATTTCTAGATCAATACTGGAAATAGTGGCATTGTAGTAATATTAATATTTCAATTGTGAACATAGTATATTTCCTTTTGTAGGCCCTTGTTTCAGTGATACTTTTAGATCCATGTACAAATTCTATGTCCTTTCCCTCTTTTTTTAATTAATGAACCCTTTTTTTTGTCTTTTTGAGACAGGGTCTCCCTGTAGCCCCAGCTGTCCTGGAACTCACTATGTAGACCAGGCTGGCCTTGAACTCACAGAGATTGGCCTGCCTCTGCCTCCCAAGTCCTGGGATTAAAGGTGTTCGCCACCATGCCAGCTATTATGAATTTTTAAAGTTAGCATACAGAATAGGTTCCATTATGACTGACATTTCTTTTGTTTATTGTTTTTTTGTTCATTTGGATGCTAATTCAGTAGAATCCTATTTTATTTCAGATTGCTCATTAATAATGCTCCCACATTGATTTTTAAATATATATTTTAGAAAAAGGGTGAAACATATAACACTGAATTTTAGCCATTAGCGTACAGTTCAGTGACCGTAAGCACATTCACTGTAATGCGCAGATATCACCACCATTCCTTTTTAGAACTTTTTTCCTCCTGTAAAACTGAAACCCTGTCTCCATTAAACTCCCTTTCCCCTAGCCTTTGAGAAACACCACTCTGCTTTCTGTCTTCATGACTCACTACTAATACGTCAAGTAATTGGAACCAGGCAGTATTTGTCACTTTCTGATCAGAAAGCTTAGCATGATCTTGGCTTTTTTTTTTTTTTTCCTCTTTCTTTGAGACCTGGTCTCCTTGTAGCCCCAACTGGCCTTGAACTCAATTTGTAAACTTGGGTGCCCTTGATCTCATAGAGATCCACTTGCGATTAAAGGCATGCACCTCTATGACTGCCATATTCCTCAATTTTTATGAAGAGTTTGCTTTTTTAAAGATAGTCTCATGTAGCCCAGGCTAGCCTCAGATTCCCTATGTAGCTAAGAACGATGCTGAACATCTGATTCTTCTAGCCCTCCAAGTGCTGGGATGGCAGGCAGGCATGTGTCCAGGGTCTCATATACACATGAAGCAAGCACCCTACAAACTGAAGTCCACCCTTAGGCTTGGAGTCTTCTTTAAATATTTGGTAGAATTTACTTGTGAAGCCATCTGGTAGTGGGTTTTTTTATGTTGATTTTTTAAAATTATTATTACTGATGCCTATTATCTTTCTTTTGAGATGACTCCCTTTCTCTCATCCTTCTTCCTCCCTCATTCTCTCTCCTTCTCTTCTTCTCTCTCTCTTTACCCCCTCTTGCTTTTTTAACACAGCCTCTCATAGCCCAGGTTGACCTTGAGCTTACTATGTAGCTGAGGATATATACCTGGGACTATAAGCATGCACAGCACCTACTTCCTATCCTTGTCTTTTGACAGTTTATGATGTGTCTAAGATGGGGATAGCTTGAACTTTATCTCAGAAGTCACACCTTATCTCTTTTGTTTCCTCAAATGAACCACTGGACCTTTCTGGTCAGTCCTTGTTACTTCAGAATTTGTTTCATTTTCTTGTATAATTTCTGCATTTTTAGTGATAGTCTCTGTTAGTACACTGTTCTGGTCTTCTTTAGTTCTGTCTCTAGTTTCCTTTATTTTAAATGATTGCTTTGTTTTTCTCTAGTAAGTCCAATGTCTAGGTTTCTTAGACCATCAATTGCTTTTTTTCTTTATGTAAGGGACTATACTTTTTCTGTTACATGTTTTGTGGAAAATTGGTTGTTTTAAATAACACAATGGCCACTCTGGAAATTAGGTTCTTCCTCTTCTCCAGGACTTAAAAAAAATGAAGCTTAATAATTTTTTTCTGGTTGATGGAGTGCCTTAATTAAAATGTGTATATATATACACACATTTATTTATTTATTTATTTTTTTGATCTTTTTGAGACAGGGTCTCCCTGTAGCCCCAGCTGTCCTGGAACTCACTATGTAGACCAGACTGGCCTTGAACTCACAGAGATCCGCCTGCCTCTGCCTCCCAAGTGCTGGGATTAAAGGCATGCACCACCACGCCCGGCCTTAAGATATATTTTGAAAAATTCTCTGACAGTTTCATACATGTATATAATACATTCTGATCATACTCTATACCCCATCCTCTCTTATCTCCCCCCCATCCCTAACCCCCCACCCACCCATAATCATTGTTTTATTTACTTAATTTTTGTTTGCATGAGACAGGGTCTCCCTATAGCCCCAGCTGGCCTGGAACTCACAGAGATCCCCTGACTTCTGCCTTCTGAGTGCTAGAACTAAAGGCATGTGCCATCACGCTGTTGGTGTGTGTGCGTGGTACACAAGTGTGGGAGTTAGGACAACTTTTGGGAGTCAGTTCTCTCCACCTTCTTGAAGCAGGTTCTCATTTCTGCTGTCATGCGAACTCCAGGCTAGCTGGCTTGCAAGCTTCCAGGAGATTTCCTCTCTGCCTGCCATCTGCCATAAGAACGCTGGGATTACGTGCTACCACATATAACTTTTTTTACGTGGGTTCTGAGATAGAACACAGGCCATCAGGTTTGCGGTGTAAGCCACTGTTGCCCACTGAGCCATCTTGCCAGCCCTGTTTTGTTTTTTTTAGATAGGGTCCCATGTAGCCCAGTTCTCATGTAGATGACTTCAGACTCTTGCTCTTCTCCTGCCTCTATCTCTCAAGTGCTGAGATTATAGGCAACCACCATGCCTGGTTGTTGTTTTTAGTGACATTGCTAATTCTGTAGTCTGTGTTTCAAATTTTTATTTTATTTTATTTGTGTGTGTGGTTTGTGGTATTTGTAGTCTGTAAGTGTGGGTATAAATATGCTATAGTGTGTATCTGATGGGCAGAGGACAGTGTTTGGGACCTAGTTCTCTCCTGACACTATGGGTTCCAGGGATTGAACTCAGGTTATCAAGCTTGCTTAGCAAACACTTTTACCCTCTGAGTCATCTTGCCAGCTCCATAAAGTCTATATTCTTTGTCATGTATAGTCCCTGAACTCTTGATTAGGACTGATACTTTCTTAAATGCTGGGAACCAGTAAGTCAATCTTTGCTGAGGACCTCTCCCTCCCTCTCTCCCCCTCTCTCTCCCTCCTCTTCTCTCCTTCTCCCCTGCCCCCTCCTCCTCCCTCTTCTCCTCTGTGTGTGTGTGTTCGGGTGGGGGTAGGTAGCCCACTTAATATTCAGCAGGGCTGTTGATAGTTCTGCCTTAGCCTTTCCTTCCATGGAGCCTTCGATGCTCAGGTGAGAGCTTCAGGTCTTCTCAGGTCTTTCTCAAGGCTGTTCGTATTTTTCAAGATTACCAGGGATGTGTTGGAGCTTTTCAAAGTATCTGTGTACTTCCTCATTACTTGGATTTTTCTTTTTTGAGTTTTGGGTTACAATCTTGCTTTTCCCAACTATTATCCATTGTCTCAGGAAGCATGAAGTTAAACAGTAGCCTCTAAATATTTTTGACAAATGCCCCAGAAAAGACCTGTACTGGGTGAGCTCTGAATCAGGTCAGTAAAGAGAACCATGCCACTCCAGCCTTCCTGGGACTGGGAAGCTGGGCAGGTAATGACAGTTTCCTGGGACCGAGGCTATAGAGATGCTCCTGCCCTGTTCTGTATGCCTGAGGAAGCTGCCAGGCTGCTGGTTTTCATTGTGCTTATAGGCAGTTTTCATGTTTTCCTTGGGGCCAGAGAGAGGTGGGAGAGGAGGAGGAATAAGGTGTTTAAAGTGTGAAAAAGGGTTGGACATGATGCTCCAAACTTTAATCTCAACATAAGGGAAGCAGAAGCCAGCCTGGTCTACAGGGCTGCATAGTGAGACCCTGTCTCAAAAAAACCAAAACAAAAAGTGTCAAAAAGGTCATTATCCTTACTTCCCTGGATTCTTGAAGACTTAGACAATTTCTGAAGTTCCAAAATTTATGATTCTGACAAGTTTTGCTAGTTTTCTCAATGTTAAAACTGTACCCAGTTTATAAGATAGACTGTTGAAGTATGTATTTTTAAAATATATAAATAACAAATGTGAAATAATGACCGGGCTTGGTGGCACATGCCTTTAATCCCAGCACTTGGGAGGCAGAGGCAGGCGGATCTTTGTGAGTTCAAGGCCAGCCTGGTCTACATAGTGAGTTCCAGGACAGCTGGGGCTACAAGGAGACCCTGTCTCAAAAAAGACAAAAACAGTGAAATAATGCTTGCTTATAAGAGAGACTTCTTATAGGGCATTGGGTTACCTGAGCTACCTCCATTCCCTAGTAGCTCATGTTGTCAGTTTGGTTATTTTTATTTCTTTTTGTGTGTATGAATTTTGCCTGCACATATGTAGTGCATCCCGTGTGTGTAGTGCCTGTGGAGACCAGAAAAGGGCAGTGGATCTCCTGGTACTGGAGTTTTAGCTGCCATGTGTGTTCTGGGCACAGAACTCAGGTTCTTTGGAGGAACAGCCAATGCGCTTAGCCTCTGAGCCATCTCTCCAGCCCCTGGTTTGGTTATCTTTCCAGAGGTCTTCCTGTGGTAACAAAATATATATATTCAAGAGGTGATGTTTCTTTCTGTGTGTTCTAATATTGGAGTGTGCAGATAAAATGCAAGGCAAAGTAGAATCACCTTATGTACTTATTCTGCCCATTGTCCTTTTTTCCCCCACTAAAGTCATCTTTGAGGGTTGTGTTTTGTGTGTTCATTAAGGTTCTTTTCAAAGTGTGTTTAGATTTATTTGTATACATATAAGTATACTTGTAAAGCAAAAATGACAAGATACTATGTGTGTTATTCTGCCAGATGAATAAATATTGATTATTGTTAGCCCAACCTCCTTTGGAATGGCTGTGTATCATTCACTCATTCCTTCATTGTATGCTGACCTTGTGATTTAGTCCTTTCCCCACTGATGACTCTCTTGATTCCACTGTTATTAATAGTCTGCAGTAAAAATCTTGTCTCTGTCTTTGTACCTTTTTGCTCTGTAGTTTTTCTAAATTCCTTTTAGATTTGCTGAGTCTCAGGACATACACATTTTAAATTTGGGGAGTTACTATAAAAGGTTGTACAACTTTCTCATTCTACTGGCAACATAAAATTACCTGTGTAATGTCCTTTCCTTCATGGGATGCTACCAAGTTAAAGATTTGTCAATCTCATTACCAAATCTTCAAGCTCCTTTTGCCTTCTCACTTGAAGGGCCTAGCTGGCAGTGGCTGATCTTCAGGAATAGCTAAAGTGTCCTCTGATGAGAGGATCAAGTGGCTCCCTCCTCTAATTAGTGATGTGTACCTGGGGCCTTTTCCAGGTCAAGGCCACAGCTCATGTTATTTATGCTTTTCTATGAGTTAAATGTTGCTGCTTTGCCATCATAAACAACCAACATTTGATACCCTCATATTGGTATTTTAATAGGTAGCAACTGGGAAATGGAAGAAGATAAGTAAATACTGTCCCCTCGATCTCTACTCAGGGTAAGAGTCACTTGTCATTTATTATTTTGAGGTGTGGAAGTGGTGCCTGCTAAGGTCTGTGAGGTATGGACTTCAGGGTTATTTTGTGAAGTAATGATGGTGTGTGTGTGTGTGTGTGTGTGTGTGTGTGTGTGTGTGTGCACATGTGTGTGGCTCACAAGTGGAGAAATAATATTAATGATAT